AAGTGTATGAATATGAAAATTGAGAAACACAGTGTGTCCAAGTGTATGAATATGAAAATTGAAACAGTGTGTCCAAGTGTATGAATATGTAACACAGTGTGTCCAAGAATATGAAAATGAAAAAACACAGTGTGTCCAAGTGTATGAATATGAAAATTGAGAAACACAGTGTGTCCAAGTGTATGAATATGAAAATTGAAACACAGTATGAAAATATGAATATGAAAATTGAGAAACACAGTGTGTCCAATGAAATGAATATGAAAACTGAGAAAAAACACAGTGTGTCCAAGTGTATGAATATGAAAAACTGAAACAGTGTGTCCAAGTGTATGAATATGAAAATTGAGAAACACAGTGTGTCCCAGTGTATGAATATGAAAAATTGAGAAACACAATGTGTCCAAAAAAAATTGAGAAACACAGTGTGTCCAAGTGTATGAATATGAAAAACTGAGACAGTGTGTCCAAGTGTATGAATATGAAAAATTGAGAAACACAGTGTGTCCAAGTGTATGAATATGAAAATTGAAAACACAGTGTGTCCAAGTTATGAATATGAAAATTGAGAAACACAGTGTGTCCAAGTGTATGGATATGAATACTGAAAACACAGTGTGTCCAAGTGTAGAATATGAAAACTGAGAAACAGTGTCCAAGTGTAAATAAAAAAAAAGCGAGAAACAGAATGTCCCAGTGTATGAATATGTCTTGAGAAACAAAAATCAATATGAAAATTGAGAAACACAGTTTTCCAAGGTATTATAAAAATTGAGAAACAGTGTGTCCAAGTGTATGAATACGAAAAATTGAGAAACACAGTGTGTCTGAGTGAAATAAAAAGAAAGCGAGAAACGAATGAATGATGTCGTCTTAGGAAATAAAAATCAAAGGAAACACATTTTGGATTGTAAGATTAAGAAAGAGACAATAATTGTGTATGTATATATATATGAAGAAAAATATACTGAAAAAACAAACAAAAATCCTAATATGCGATTATGCTGTTTTAATGTTTAATTTCAACGTCGGACGTTTCGGTCTAATAGACCATCTTCAGGACATATTCATAAAACATAATTAACATAGACCATATACAATTCAACATGAAAAAGACGATGGAAAAGTAATACCAATCCAAACAGATAACTGAAATCTTTTATAAGATCAGCGTTCCGTTTAAATATGATCACGTCGTCGTCACGTGGGCAATGTTGTGAAAACGTATAACTAAAATTTGAATATTTGATCTTAGGATTTTTGTTTGTTTTTTCAGTATATTTTTTTTCATACTGTCGGATCTATATCCATATATTTGCTTATATATATATATATATATATATATATATATATATATATATATATATTATAAATAATAGCAATTTGTGAATGGTAGGGATAATTCCAAGGAGGATATTAATCCAGAGAGAGCTCAATGTAAACTATAGAGCATGGAAATGATAAGAACTTTTGGGTCAAGCGATGAATATATAGAAATATTCACGAAATAGACTTATAACCGAAATGGATCTTTAAGGTTTTCTTATGATTTATTACTCTCTTAAATTTTCAAAAAATTCAACCTTAGCGTTGCGACTGCACGCTCCAAAAGTTTGTATCCGTTAACAATAACACATTAAAAAATGAATATTTCGATTCGCATTTAATTTTTTCGTCTCGGATGCTACCTGCATTTTACGATAAAACAAAATAATTTCCATGCCTGAAGATGACTGAAGGTACTCTTGAAAGTACTTGCGTATTAAAGAAAGACCTTATACAGCTTATAATTTATAAAAAACAAGGATCGTAACATTCATCGAGTGATTTGTATGTTAATGCACCTTTAAAATTTTGTTTGCGAATGGATTTCGCCATTTTATATCATTAACTTTAATAATCTACTTTCTGTATGAATGATTCATTGTAACATATATATATATATATATATATATATATATATATATATATATATATATATATATATGTATGTATAACATACAATAGAAATCAAGATTACTCCATGGTTATGATCATTTCACCTTACAAATCAATCTTAATTTGTAAGGATTTTTAATAAAAAATAAAAAATGAAACTGGCTTAAAAAGCATTTTAAAAGCCACTCAGAATCCTTACAAATTAATCTTAATTTCTAAGGTGAAATGATCATAACAATGGCGTAATCTTAATTCTTATTGTATGTATTGTATTTATATGCTCTGTTTGAATAAAAAAAAATGACCTCTCTATGTGAATCAGTTTTAATATTCTATATTATATTATTAGGATTCACTTAGATTATATACCAAGAGACGATGGAGTAGCGTGGTGCTCGACGACACTGGGCGGGATATATGGAGAACTAGGGCTGCCCAGACGTCTAGTTCCCCACCCACCTCGGCCTTGCTAGGAGAGAGTCCAAAGGAGAAGATAAACCAATACAGTTTGGCACCAGCGCGGCTGCAAGAGTTGCCGGATGGTAACACAAAGTGCTGTCCATCCGCCTTAGGGGCTCCACTCCGGGTTTGAATTCAGAGTTGTCCTTCTCCTAGACCAGTTGCCATCCAAGGCTATAGAATCCAATCTCTCCTGCTATTTACCCATAGCTGGGGGGATAAGAAGAGGATACACACCTTTCCCAAAGGTATTATCTCGTAAGTGAATGTAATGGATTCGACTAGATTCTCCGATTCCTCAATTCCAATCGCAGCAAAGTAGCAGAGCGTAGTTTTTCCTTCTGTCATCTTCGCCTGTCAAGTTGGCACTGGTCATTCCAGTAGGGTAAACAAAGATGGCCGCCTTTATACACAACGGATACAATGTTCTGCGGCTTCTGATTGGTTAACCTTCTATTGGTGGACTATAAAGGGAGTTAAGTCATTTTCACTAACTCACTAGTCATATATATATATATATATATACACAAAAAACTGTAACAACTTATACTGACAGAGAGAATACCTGCGGTTGATATTCGTCGAGATACAGTCTGTGACTGTGTCCAACGTCTGGGTGGGATAATAAATACCGAGATACGTCGCGATACAGTCTCGACGTCTGTCGAACTCTCTGCTTTGCCAGAGAGGAACCCGGACGAAGCTTTGCCGAAGGGCAAGGTTTCGTCCGGTGAGATAGACAGAGCCTGAACCCGTCTAGGCGGGTTCAAAGGGTATATTTTTGGCCCAGCTTAAGGGCTCGAAGAAACCAACTTTAAACTCGGCCTTGTGCCACATATATTTCTCGTGGGAGGAATATTAAATACCGAGATACGTTGCGATACAGTCTCTGACTGCGTTCGACGTCTGTCGAACTCTCTGCTTTAGCAGAGAGAAACCTGGGCGAAGCTTTGCCGAAGACCGTTTCGTTCGGGGAGGTAGACAGGTCCTGAACCCATCTAGGCGGGTTCAAAGGGTATATTTTTGGCCGAGCCTACGGGCTCGGAGAACCCCATTTGAAATTCGGCCTTGTGCCACATTCCTCGTGGGTGGGATATTAAATACCGAGGTACGAAGGGCAAAGTCTCGTCCGGGGAGATAGACAGTTCCCGAACCCGCTTATGCTGGTTCAAAGGGGATATTTTGGGGATGATCCTACGTGCTCGGGGAAACTCACTTTAAACTCGGCCTTGTGCCACATATATTCCTCGTGGGTGGGATATTAAATACCGAGGTACGAAGGGCAAAGTCAAGTCCGGGGAGATAGACAGTTCCCGAACCCGCTTATGCTGGTTCAAAGGGATATTTTGGGGATGATCCTACGTGCTCGGGGAAACTCACTTTTAAACTCGGCCTTGTGCCACATATATTCCTCGTGGGTGGGATATTAAATGGACCGAGACAGGTTGAGAGATACGGAGACAGACAGGGTGTTTCAAAAAGTCAAGAGTCCAGAGGAGAGATAGAGAGATATGTTACTGTTGAACCCGCTTTTATTTAAACTGGTTCCTAAAATAGGTTCGACGTATTTTTGTTAGATGATCCTACGTGCTCGAGGAAATCTCATACTTTAAACTCGGTCGTCTTGACTGCCTCGTTATTATATTCCTTATAGGCGGGATCTATTAACTATAGATTAGGTACGAAGAGCAAAAGTCAAGTCCTTACAGAGATTTGATATACTTCCCGCATTCCTGGACTACTAATCTTCTGGTTCAAATACATATTTTTCTATCACAATTTCTGGCATTGTTTATTTACTTGTGCTCGATTCCATTCACGGAATCCACAACATTAAGCCTTTCCGATCGATCATACTGTCAGGGTCTGTATTCATTTAATTATTTCATTAGATAAACTATGTTAAACGTTTTGAAGAATATTTACTGTCATATAAATTTGTTTTTGTTGACAGGTTGAGAAAGATCATAAAATAAAATACAGAAAGGGTGTCCTAATCGATGCTTGCTGAATAAGTTATACAAGAAAACCAGAAAAATTAAAATAAATATTGAGAGAAAAAATGAGAATTATATGATTACTGTTGGAATTGTCGAGGCGGTGGGTTAGCAAGCTCGTCTTGCTAGAACGATTACGACTGAGTAGTGAGTTCGATCCTCACTGGGTGCCCCATAATTTCGGCCTTGTGCCACATCTAAGCTACGCTTGGACAATCTCTACACCGTTATTCGAATTTAGAAAACTTTGAAAGAATAAATATCAATACCTTATTCAAGAGCACCAGTTATTGCAAAATCATGGCATTGACAATCATTCCGACAATCCCTGGAGTACTAGGAAGGGTTTAAAAGATACTCAGTTATGTGCCATGCGTGATAGAAGCTTAGGCGATCAATTAATTAATATCAAAAGCCATGAGAGCCATGCCTGATTTGGTTTTAGGACATTTATTGTTATTATTTATTTGATATCACTTCCGACTCTTAGATATTTCGACTCAGAGCTTAGAAACACAACATTTTTTTCTCAGCACATGACCTGTTCGAAGTAGCATTGCCACCTGCTCACTCCTAGTTATATCAGGTACCACTAAAGATATCTGGAAATAGTCCCGAGTAATCCAACTACAAAAGGAACTACTTGAGCTACCGCTTGGTACTTTTCTCTGATTTTCTTTGCCAGGTTTTAGTACCTCTGTATTTTAGCCTGATTCTCTCCTTCACGATGGTCTTATCTCGAGGCACAGAAACGTATGTCAGGATGCGTCCATTGCTGCTTTCGTGCACAGGTGTAATATCAGGGCGATTTCTCTCCAAGCGCTTGTCAGTCCAGATGGTCGTATCCGTAATGAGCTTCACTTGCTGATTCTCAGCTTCTAACAGTGGTGAATTCGCGTACATTATTATTATTATTATTATTATTATTATTATTATTATTATTATTTGTGGTAGATTTAGTATTCCAAGTAGTCATGAAGGAGTGATAAAAAGTGGTATCCATAATAAAATGTTGAACAATAAAATATAATTGAACAAAAGAACGGTTCATTCTTTACTTTCTGCGATGAGGCCGAACGCTTCGTTATAGAAATTTAGGTCGCCTCAGCAGGGGATGCAAACAGATTTCTTGTTTAAAAATTCATGTAAACAGTCGTCAGCGGTTTAGAATTAGGGTGTAAAATGAATGAGAAAGACGTGAGAGACAAAGGCATAAATAAATTATAGAAACATATTTATTCGTTCAGAATACGAGTGGCAAGCTGATAAAATTATTGCGATTACTCGTAAGAAGAAGAGAATGAAAGAGAGGAAAGCGAAGAGAGAGAGAGAGAGAGAGAGAGAGAGAAACAGAGACAAGGAGCGTTTGGAAAGAAGAAGAAAAAGGAGAAAGAAAGAAGTCAAAATAAAGGCAAAAGTAAAAAAAATATCGAAAAAGAAAAGAAAGAAGAGGGAGTAGAACAGAATAAAACGAAGCAACTGAAACAAAACTTATAAAATATGAATAATAATTCATATAATAATAATAATAACAATAATAATAATAATATATTAATATATGTATAATAATATATATAATAAATATATAATATATATATATATATATATATATATAATATATAAATAAATATATAGTAATTTATTAATATTATCATAAAATAATAATAATAATAATAATATTAATATAATAATATATGTATAATAATATATATATATATGAATATATAATATATATATTATAATATATAAATAAATATATAATAATTTGATAATATTATCATAATATAATAATAATATAATAATATATGTATAATATATATATATATATAATAAATATATAATATATATATATAATATATAAGATATTATATATAATATATAAATAAATGTATAATAATTTAATATTATCATAAAATAATAATAATAATAATAATAATAATAATAACAATGAGAGCCTAATTGCATCTGTGGCAAATATCATCAAATATAACAACGATAATAAATATTCTCTCCTTCGTGTTCATTGTTATATATCTTATAATTATTTTATTAAATAATGATAAGAAAATAATAATGACCACAAAGAATAAAATATAATGTTGTTAATAATAATAATAATAATAATAATAATGGATGCCAAATAACTGACTGGGCCTACCTGCTGATTACAATATAACATCAAAGCAAATAGAAATGATCAGCAACACCTCTGATCTGTAGGTAGAGATTACCGGATTGTGGAAAATGCCGGAAAAAATTGTTAAAGTCATCCCGGTAGTAAATGTGGCACTTGGCTTATGTTTGAAGGTCATATCGGCCAATGTAAAATACACTTTACCAACGCTATAAAAATGTGCCATATTGGGTAAATAGATATCGAAGAATATTTAGAAAAAAAAGCTTTCTGTCTGTCTGAGGTCCTAGTGTTTGACTTGACAGACATTATCTTCCTTGGTACTCAGGACATCTACAAAACAATAGCAGCATGGTATATTCGATTCAAAATAATAATAATAATAATAATAAGAAGAAGAATAATGAAAAGAAGAAGAGGAAGAAGAAGAAGAAAGAAAGAAAGAAAGAAAGAAAGAAAGAAAGAAAGAAAAAGGGTTAATTATTGATCCATCGACTTCTTTTGATACAAGGTTAAAGCCAAATTTCGAAGAGAAATTAACCAACCCATTGAAGTTTGAATTCCCAAGACTTTGGAAATTGAAGAAGGCCGCAGTCAAAGGAGTTTTCCTTACTGTTCTTAGTACAGTGATCAGCAAAATAGAGACATGGATAAAGAAAATTGGGATTGTTCCAGAATGGGCGTTACTTAAAAACAGTAAAAATAATCCGAGAAGTGATGAACACTTAGAGTCAGAGAAAAATTGTATGACACCTACAACTGCTGGTTGTGGCTCACTATCCATGCTTTTAATGACTATATATCTTACCCTAGAAAATAATAATAATAAGGATAATAATAATAATGATAATGATAATTGCTTCTGATTTTAATTAATTGGAGGACTAAACATGTACATGTTTTGGTGAATTAAGTTGAGCTATAGCAAATATCCCGTTTAGTAACATATTTCCTTTTGAACTGTCTGACAATAATCAGTTGGACATGTACCCTAGACGGGGTACAGTGTACATTTCTGTTCACAAAAGAACGTAATGGGGTAAAGTCAAGATCATATGGCGAAGGGGTTTTCTTTTAAGTTTCAAGGAGGAGATAGCTATGACGATTTGTTAGTATGAAAATCAGAGTACAGACAGTTATACGACAAGTGAACAAATTTAATTTATTATATTATATATATTTAATAATAAGATTAATAATAATAATAATAATAATAATTGTTATTAGAGACCCCAAACATTAAAAAGTGTCCTTATTTAAATGGCAGTCCCTGCAGACTGCAATGTATCTTTGAAGATCTTCAAAAAGCTATTAAAATACAAGGACCTTGAAATCGAAATCTCAAAAATGTGTCACATCATCAATCCCTGTTGTAGTTGGAGCCCTCGGAATAGTTCGAAAAAATCCAGTAGACTAATTGAAGGGATTCCTGGAAGCCTATGCCTTAAAGAAATACAAAAATTGTTCTCACGAGTACAGTCCAGACCTTACGAAGAGCTTTAACTATGTAAAATATTTTTTTTTGTCAGTGGAAAATGTCATGATGCCATTTCTAACCTTAGGTCTCTGGGCGGAACCCGGAAAGAAATGTGTACACACCAGAAATCAAAGGAAATAAAATAATAATAATACAAGAAAGGTAGAATTACAGAAACACCCTTAATAGATTTAGATTTTGTCACAAAGATTAGGGAATTGGAGCATGATGCAGCTTATAAGTACCTAGGAATTAGCGAAGGAGATGGCATACAACACCCCCAAATGAAGGAAAATTAAGAAAGGAGTACTACAGGCATCTACGTGTTGCACTAAATACTGAGTTAAACTCAAAAAATAGAATATCAGCCATAAACACATTGGCTGTCCCTGTGGTGCAATACAGCTTTAATGTCCTTAACTGGACCATAGCTGAAATTAAGCGAATTGACGCCACAACGAGAAAGCTTCTCACTTGCTATCGCATGCATCATCCCAAAGCTGATGTTGATCGTCTGTATGTGCCCAGATCCGAAGGAGGCAGAGGATTAGTTCAACTAGAACTGTCCTACAAAACTACAACAACTGGTCTCCAAAGACAGCAACGACGAATGCAACTGACCAGATACAGAAGCGATGGCAAGATAAACCGCTTCATGGCCAATACGCTGCCCGTACCAAACAAGCTGACGTAGACATCAGTGGCTACGTAGTGCAGGGTTGAAAGCTGAAATTGAAGGTTTTATACTTGCTGCACAGGACCAATGCTTGCTAACTAGGAATTATTAAGCACATATACTAAAATATTGTGTCAGCCCAAAATGCAGATTCTGTGATAAATATCCAGAAACGATTGATCATCTTGTATCAGGTTGCACGATATTGGCACCCACTGAATATAAAACCCGGCATGACAGAGTGGGCCAATATCTGCACTGGAAAATATGCAACTTCTACGGAAGGAAACTGAAAGAAAATGGGTATGAACACCACCCAGACCGGGTTACGGAGATAGGACCTGTTACAATTTTATGGGACTACACAATACACACCGACAGAACAATCAAAGCTAACCACCCAGATATTGTTATTAAAGATCACAAACAAAAAAGTGCCTCCTTATTGATATGGCAGTCCCTGCTGACTGCAATGTATTTTTGAAGATATTCAAGAAGCTGTCAAAATACAAGGACCTTGAAATAGAAATCTCAAAAATGTGGCATATGAGAACATCAACAATCCCTGTTGTAGTTGGAGCCCTAGGACTGGTTGGAAAAGATTGCAGTAGACTAATTGAAGGGATTCCTGGAAGTCCATGCCTCAAAGAGATACAAAAAATTGTTCTGACAAGTACAGCCCACACATTACGAAGGGCTTTATCTATGTAATAATTTGTTTTTGTCAGTGGAAAGTGTCATGATGCCATTTCTAACCTTAGGTCCCTGGGCGGGACCCGGAAAGAAATGTGTAAACGCCAGAACTCAAAGAAAATAATATTATAAATGTGGCACATGAGAACATCAACAATCGTGGTTGTAGTTGAAGCGCTCAGATTGGTTGGAAAAGATTGCAATAAACTAATTGAAGGGAATACCTTAAAGAAATACAAAAATTGTTCTCACGAGTACAGCCCACACCTTACAAAGGGATTTATCTATGTAAAATATGTTTTTTAATTGGTCAGTGGAAGATTTTATGATGCCATTTCTAACCATAAGTCTCGGGCGGGACCCGGAACGAAATGTGTACACACCAGAAATCAAAGGAAATAAAATAATAATAATAATAATAAGTATTATAAAAAGAGGTAAAATTACTAGAATTTAAAGTATTTCAAGAGGAGTGGAATTTTTTAGAAAAAAGAGCTCAGCAGAATAGTAAATTAACGATAGTCAATAAATTAATAAAATAATTTGAAATTTCAAGGTTATGATTCTCGTTTGTTCCCAAGAGTATTGATATAAGATCCGATAATAATTTCAATAGATTTAGTCAACATCTAGTCATGAGCATCTAGGACAGAGAAACAGAAGACACTAGGGTAAATAATAATAATAATAATAATAATAATAATAATAGCTGCTATTATTATTATTGCAGCTTTAACGATAATTAGTTTTTAATGTATCCATCCGAATTAAGCGATAAGCTTGAATGCATGTAAAAGACCCTTGTTACGTTTCGTATGAATAGCGCTGATTACCATTTTATAAAGAAATTTAAGATGTTTTAACGCAACGAAAATTAGCCACGAAGAAAGCGAATTAAAGAGAAAAGCACACGCGTAGGCACACAAACTCACACGCAAAATAGATCTTAAAAAGTAATTGTGGTTCCCCTCCTTTTTTTATTTTTATTTTTATCTTCTTTATTGTGAGACTGACGGCCATCTTTCATAAAAGCTATTATTTTGGACATTTCCCCCCGGCACAAATGGCTTCTTTTTGCTTAGCATAAGTTTGATAAACAGTACAACTGTTATTAACCTTAAAGTATTTATATTGTCATTCTTGTACATGAAATGTCCTTTCATGGGCTGCGCCATTGTGATTTTCCACAACTTTCAATCGTTTGTTACTCTAGGTAAACTTTGAACCTGTTCTGCCATTAATTTACACAAACTCGTTATGTGTTAATGAACAAGTATTTGTTTTTATTTTATTAGAGAGGCAAGACATGAATTTTACTTTAACTAAATTCGATTTTACCTAATTTCAACTCAATTTTTACTTCATCTATCTTTGTTTAGTTACCTTTTTGTTTAAGGTTTACATATCCCACAATGTTTGAATATTAATTTAGTAAGAACATTGACAAATCGGGCAAACATCATTATCAGGAGCAGCGGTCGTAGGAGACTCAGAGATCATGGAACTTTCAATACTTCTTATCAAAATATCATTATTATAATATAGGAGGATGTAGGTAAATAAGGATGTTATAAATCGAGGAAAGTGGGAGTGGTTTAACAAAGAATGAAATCGTCGAACCGAGTTCATATTCCGACCGGAGCAGTTTACGTTCTCCTGACATCACTAATGACAGCATGTCATTTTTGGGCGTTCGATAAAAAGGTCAAGGCAGGGGTTATCACTTGCTGCTGGAACCATACAATTCAATACAACCTTTCGCGTGTTATTGAGCGAATAGATAGGGAACTGTCGAGCAAACCCCGAGGGTCCCATTTCGAGAAGAGAAGCCATGATGGGGAAATCACCTCGAGAAACCAGTTGATCATGACAAACGTCGGTCCGTGCTAGACAATTAAAAAAGTGCTGTATTTGTCGGCCTATTGGACCGGGATTTTTTCCCAAAAAAATCCAGTATCATGTATAAGGCGGACTTGAAAACCACGATAGAAAATGGGTTTCGTCAGAATCAGTGCACTCATTGAACTTAGTCCTGAAACGAGGACTCCTGGAAGTGAACAAATGGGATATTAAAAGTATCCCCAAAAAATTCACCCAGGAAAAAATAGTTAAGAAATTTATGGAATTGCACAATATTTTACTGCTTGTTTTATAGAAATACCAGATTTTGCAGAAATATTTGCTTTGACTGGTATATGCTGCTTGTTGTTGTTGTGTGTGTGTGTGTTTCTGTCGATATACAGGAATTTGTATTTGCTTTTTTGCATGTATGCTATGGCACATGACTTACCACCACGTACCATATTTTTATCTTTTTGCCTAATACCATATGTAACAGTGTTCACTGATACCAGTAGATTTCTTTGTAGCTATTACGAAACTAATGTTTGTGTAGATGTTTCTCCATGAAAAAAAAACAAACAAATAAAACAATGCTGAAATGTACTAAAATTCGTCTTTTCAAAAAAAAAAAAAAAAATGTCCTGGTAATTAAACCTTATCTCACTCCTATTTTTAAAAAAAGTATCAGTAGAATAATTTGTGCCAATACTGTAAATGTTCCTTCATAATTAGTGAGAATGTCACATCAATGGAAGGTTATAATTTTTATTTTGGGTTGTGATGCGTGCATTTTTCCATCAATATCCCATAACAAAATCTGAGTGCGTCCAATGCGTAGGTGCGTCCAATAGGCCGGTAAATACGGTACTTAGATAAAAAAAATACATCTTATCTCAAATAAAAAAAAGCAAACAAAATATTCCACTTAAAAACTAAAAAAAAAAAAACTAAAATAAAAAATCACCATGAAAAATTAAATAAATCAACGATATAAAAAATAAATTATAAAAAAACTGCAATATATATATATATATATATATATATATATATATATATATATATATATATATATATAAAAGAGAGTCTGTTAAAAGCGTATGATAAAAATGGCGGATAAAAAAAAACAAATTTAAAATGTCAACTGATAAGAAATGAAAAATGCATTCAATTATTACAAGTAGGATTTAATATAGTTTTTCTAACAATTATTTTGCACGAAATTTGTCATATTCTTTTAAAACAGTTCGTATTTAGGATTTATGCTGTGATGTATGCGAGATTAAAACGTTAGTATTCTGACGACGAAACCCGAAAATGTCATGAACCATAGTCGATTTGTCAGGGAGTTCTTGATAACATCGGCCTGGGGATGTAATACCAGTGCTCAGCACCGTTGGAAAGTGCCTGAAAACCATACCCCACAAATTGACCCAAGCCTTGTGAGTGAAATGAGTTACTCCAGGAGAGTGACTCATTACGTCTTCTGAAACTAACATTTTCCGTTGACCTAAAGTCGATAGATTATATCGAAGCAATTACGAGGTCTGCTGCTAGGAATGTTGGTTCAATGTGTCGTGCAAGAAAAAAAATAGAGTCACTGTGCCCTTTCTATAAATATTTTCATGCTAATTGTTCTGATGAACTTTTCTCGATGGTACTAGATTGGCGGCTAGGTCTTATCATTTTGCAGTTGAAATGTCTAGAAGTAGCCATAAGTTGTATGCTAATAGTTTTTTCTCTCGCACTTCTCGCTTATGGAACACTCTTCCGGTTTCTTGTTTTACAGTCAACTTTGATTTTCAAACATTTAATTGCAATGTCAATCATTTATATTGTGTCTTTTTAATTTTTGTTCTTTTATTGTTCTTTCACCTATATAGTGTTTTTTTTTCTCCTACTAGATTTGTTTTTGCAACACGCTGACGCGTTTTGAAATCGTCACAATATTTAATATTGCTGAATGTATTGCTAATATTTTACAAATTCTACGTTTCGTTCAATTTCGCAAACTAATCGATAAAATATCAAAACTCTCTTTAGAGAAGATATGCAAAAAACATTATTTTTTTTTATTAAATAAGTATTTTTTTATTTAAATCATCAAATTGTTTTTAAAATAGTTGGAGTATTTTGCATGTTAAAGAGCTAAAAAATTTCCCCCCAAAATGAATGAAAATATATTGTACTAAATTACGCACCCAAGTAAAATTGTACTTTCGACCCCTTTACCTCTTTAAACTTCTCTCCCAAATTTGGTTTCAGTCAGTTAATGTATGGCTATTTTAGAGGCTGTGATAGATAGACTAACAAAAGACAGAATTTTATATGTAGATTTTCTAACACCCTTACGTTTTAGTGGCTTTATTGCCTTGCTTGGAGTGAAATGATTAAAAAAATTGTCGATTGTTACGCTTGCCCAGAAGTCACAAAGGGACGTAACTAAGGGTTTGAGGACTCTGGTCTTGTTTAACTATTTGTCATACGATATTCTACGTTCTCTCTCAGAAACTGTAACTTAGGTCTGCTTAGCCTAAATGCAGTAGAAACCAAAGGTTGGTACTGTGTTTGTTGGACTAACTCAAACATGCGCCTGTTTAGCATGGCAAACACGCAGATGGGCATATTCTGATACGAGCTGTCAGCTATACTGTTCGTAATCATAGAGCCTTACTCGTTAAACGACAAGCACGAACAATGCTGCAAATGTCTTTTCGACTTTATGATGAGATTAATTACAATTTTCTCTTAGAAGTGCTCAGAGTTTGGAAAGAGTTCTAGTGCGCTTATAATTACGGGTATGACTGCTAACATCATACAATTCAGCTTTTCTCAGTCGATGTTTTGAGATTGTCCCAATACATTTATCGTATTCGCCATGGAAACAAAAAGGACACTTATAATTAGAATCAGAAAAGAAAAAGACAGCTGTCGTTTCTGTGGCACATAATGAGGAAAAGACATACCTAACGAGACCAGGAATTAGGAGAGATAGCAAAAAGACAAACACTGCTAAGTGCTACAAAGGCAGGAAATTGTGAAGAACCACGATTTCAACGTCCTGAATGTTCAATATTTTTCCCCACTCTCTTTTATAGGGACTGAATCTCATCTTTAAGTGTCATGTCCCTTCAGGTTTTCCATAGCTTTCTTTTGTCTTTAGAATTTATTTTCCATTGCTTTTTTCTTTTAATACTTGTTTCTTGTTGCCTTTTAGACAATCAGGGATTCTGTGTTTTCCTTCTCCTACATTGGTTGCAAGGTTATTGATTCATGCCATTTCTCAGTATGAAGGGACCTTAAACTTTCTCAGCTTGAATTTGAACTCGAATCTTTGATTCCATTTTAAGCTGTAATAACTCTCCACCCGCACACCCGTCAGCTGAAAAATTACTCCTCCCCCAAAAACGTGTTTATCAATAAAAAAAAAATGATAAAAAATAAGCTCCTACAGAGCCGAAACAGAATCATTTACCCCGTGTTTCAACGGTAAGAACTGACACTTTAAGAAACATTTGCCGTCGTGGGTATTTCCTTAAGCACTACAATATTAACCTTTTCAAGTCAAATGTCAATCGTTATCTATTCACCTTATCGTCATAATCTTTACTTCTTACAATCTCCTCTTTGATCATATCATTGAAGATCACTCATTATTTAGAATCTTTTTAAAGGTAATCTTCTACCTTGATAGTCTCTCGAGCCTTGTATTGGCTGAAATTCAATATAAAGAATGTTTGTACGCACCTAATATTTAGGACTAGTCTACTCTTCAGGATAAGGTAATCTTCTAGTATTTCAAATTACCTTGCGTCCCCACTTCTTTAGGTTTGGGGGTCTGGATGAATCTAGCCATAAGTTTAAAAAAAATAAGTTTAAAAAAAGTTTTTAGTGAATCATTACACAGTTCTTGGCCATAATTTACTGCATTCATTAATGCCATTAAGTGTTGATTAGTCAAATGAATGCGATCTTTGTTTTATTTGTTTTGCCATAATGTTTCGGCCGATACATTCTACAGCTTTCTTCAAGTGGTACGATTCATATCTTCTTGTTCTATGTGTTATACCCCTTCAGGATGCAGACGAACATAGTTCTCCATTACTTCCGATTCTTTGTAGCTCTTAGCAATAATTGTCTTTTACTATATCTGCCAGTCTCTAATCTGCCATCCATTTACTCTGTCTTTTCAGAACGTGTATGAACAAGACTCTCCCCTACTTCCTATCATTTGTTGGTCTAAGGAATGTTTTCCCTTTACTGTACGTCCCAGTCTATGTTCTGCCATCCATTTACATAAGCTCTTTAGTAGGTGACTCGATGTTTAACTCTGTCCTTTCAGAACGCAGGTGAACATGACTCTCCCCAACTTCCTATTTTTTGTTGGTCTAAGGAATGTTTTCCCTTTACTGTACCTCCAACTCTATGCTCTGCCCCCCATTTACACAAGACCCTTAGGTAGTTGACTCGATGTTTTCCTCTGTCTCGTTAGAACGTAGGTGTTCATGACTTTCCCCAACTTCCTATCATTTGTAGCTCTAAGAAATATTTTCCCATTACTATCCCTGATACTCTATGTTCTACCATCCATTTACACAAGCTCGTTAGGTAGGTGATTCAATATTTATCTCTGTCTCTTCAGAACGTAGGTGATCATGACCCTCCGCAACTTCCTATCCTATGTAGTTCTAAGAAATGTTTTCCTCTAATTCTACTCCCAATATCTATTCTATCATCCATTTATACAAATTCATTAAGTTGGTTACTGTTTCCCTTCTGTCTTTCTTCCCTTCAGTATCTCCTGTGAGTGTCGAATTTTTCAAGGCTTCTTTCCTCATTATGTGTCTTCGAAGTTTTAATACTCTCCTTCTGATTCAACTTATAAATATCATTTTTGTTTCCATTTTCCTTCAGTTTTCCTTGTTGCTTCTACCATAATATTCCCAGCATCATTCTGTAGAACCACAATTTTGTTTTCTCTTTATATGTGAGGAAATTGTGTAGCATATTGGGCTTTTGTACTCATTTCTTTGTTTCCAGTGAAATTTTCCTGTTACTTAATACGTCGCTTAGCTTTATGTAAGGTATCTTTCACTCTTCCAATTTGTCTTCAAATAACACTGTGTCATTTTCTGTCATCCATTAAAACACTTTCCAGATATTCAAACTTCTGAAACTGTTTTGCTTTTGATATCTTCAATGCCTAGTTCGTATATTGGGCTTTTCTCTTGCAAAAAAAAACAAGTTTTCTGAACATCTTACTGTTGATGGTTCGTCCTTTCTTCTTGCTTTCCTTTACTAACATGTCTAGGAGGTCCTGCAATTTTCATAATTCTAATACATAGCAAAAAATAGATTTAGAAAAAATGTGGAGGGAGTAGCAATCATTGTTCATAATTAGTTCTTGTCATCCAAGTGTCCCTTGGAGAACTGAACTAATTTTGAAGTTGTTGATACTACTGCTATTGATGCTGCTGATGATACTGTTGCTGCTGCTGATACTGCTGCTGTTGATCATGATACTGCTGATATTGCCGCTGCTGTTGATACTTCTGCTGCTAATGTTGATGATGTTGCTGATATTGCTACCGCCGCTGCTGCTGATATTGTTGCTGGTGATGATACTGTTGATGCTGCTGCTCATTTTGCTGCTGCAGTTGATAATTCCAATGCTACTATTACTGATGCTGCTGATATTGCTGCTGCTGATATTGTTGCTGATGATGATACTGTTGCTGCTGCTGTTGATACTGCTACTGATTTTGCTGCTGCAGTTGATACTTTTGCTACTACTGTTTCTGATTGCTGCTGATATTGCTACTGCTGCTGATATCGTTGCTGATGATGGTACTGTTGTGGCTGATACAGCTGATGATGATATAGCTGTTGATGATATTGCAGCTGCAGTTGATGCTTCTGCGCCTACTGATGGTGCTGATATTTCTGTTGCTGATAGTGTGGCTGATGATTATACTGTTGCTGCTGTTTTATTACTGCTGCTGATAGTGTTACTGCCGATGTTGATGATATTGTTGCCGATGATGATAATGTTGCTGTTCTAGATGATACTGCTGCTGATATTGCTGCTGCTGATACTTCTGCTGCTATTACTGATGCTAATGATATTGCTACTGCTGATGATACTGCTGCTGATCTTGTTGCTACTGCTGATACTTTTGCTACTACTGCTACTGATGCTGCTGATATTGCTACTGCTGCTGATATTGTTGCTGATGATGATCATGCTGCTGCTGATAATGATATTGCTGCTACTGGTATTGTTGCTGCTGGTGATACTGTTGCAGCTGATACTGCTGATGATGATATTGCTGCTGCTGATATTGTTGCTGATGATGATACTGTTGCTGCTGCTGTTGACACTGCTGCTGATATTGTTGCTACTGCTGTTGATGATATTGTTGCCGATGATGATAATGTTGCTGCTCCTGATGATACTGCTGCTGATATTGCTGTGCTGCTACTGTTACTGATGATGCTGATATTGCTACTACTGATGATACTAATGCTGATGATATTGATACTGATGATGATACTGTTCAAGATACTGCTGATAGTGCTGCTGCTACTGCTACTGATATTGCTGTTGCTGATGATACTGATGCTGTTGATATTGGTGCTGCTGCTGCTGCTGATGATGATGATTACAACAATAAAAGAAAAATTAAATAATAACCCTACTTATGATGACATAGTGGCAGTGGTGGAAATAAAAAATGACTGGCGATAAAATATATTTTCATTGGGTAATTAAAAAATCAATGAATAAAAAATGCGATTAAAAATCACGAAACACATTTAAGATAAATAAAAAAAACATCTGCATGGTAAAAAAAAAAAAAAATTCTTTATCAGTGCCAAGATAGAAAAGCTGCAAAAAGCGATAAACAAATGATAGGCAGTGATGAAGACAGATCATAAAAAATGGAACGGAATTTAAATGACTCTTGATAAGATATGAAAAATGCATTTTGAAACGGGAATAAGGGCAAACAATAAAACATTTCATCCATCACCCTCCCCCTCTGCGAATGATAATAATAAACTAGAATTTCTCTTAGAGAATGAAAAAAAAATGAGACCCTGTAGGTTTTGAGATTCAAATGGATCACCACGTCCAGATGAGGATATCGAATGGAATTTTCAAGAAAAAAGACGAAAAAAAAGTGATTTTACAGAGCACAATGTACATTTAAAAGAAAGCGAGATATTAGACATAGGGGTAACAGTTATGCCAGTATTTTGTGGAGCACTTGGATTAAACTTGAAAAGTTGAGTAAAAATGTTGGAGGTATTGAAAATCTGAGGAAGGATGCAAAATACCAAAAATAGCTGTAGCTGAGAAGACTTGTCACTTAATCTAGATTGTAACGCACTTGTTACAACTGGGGGGGTATTGTTATTATTGTTGTTGTTTATATTAATTTGCTTTTATCATTATGATACTTTTTTTTATTCTTCTGTTCAACTTTGCTAGTCCTTGTTCAACTACATAGACCAATTCTAAAAAGTATAAAGAAAAACTAGTAAGTACTAAAAAACCCACAAAGAATGATTTGATTTGTCTGTTTAACGGCATATCAACTCCTTGTGCGTCATTTAATGCCGAAATTTAATTTTCTTGTGGGCTTTGAAGTAATAAACATGTTATATATATTATTCTGATTTCACAGTAGAATACATGGTAGATGATACTCAGATTTTGTGTATATACATATCTTTGAGGACATGATTACTAGAGGCGGTGATATATATGTTTTATGTTGTAGTTTTGTTGAAGTTATATTTTGAATTTCAGTTTAATTTCTTTAAAGAACTTGTAGGATATTATATGGATTAATGTCATCCAAGGACACAGAGACTCGTCTCTCCTGCTACTTACCAAGAAGGATAATAGATGGGTTCATGCCTTTTTCCCAATGATTTTAATTTGAAATCGGTTTGCCGATTCTTTTGTCGGTCCCGTTAACCGTTACGCTACCCGAAATTTGAACGTATCGGGTGTGAATCCTACTTATACCTGGGCCCCGCCTTCGTAGATACTATGAAGAGTTTTATGTAATCAATAGTTATTCTTATCAGCAAAATAAATTTCCATGAAAAATGATATTTTTGTTTAGATTCAAAGGAAAATAATGCTTCAGAATGCGTTGAGTGGGTTTTTTCGGGGGGGGGCAGGACTGAGAAGAAAAAAATTTAAAAAATTAGTTGCTCGTAAAATAAAGCGCATTTATTTCATTCCAGTTTCGCAATGTCCAGAACGACATTATAGATTTTACAATCAATTCGCTTTTGATTTTAATCGCTATCAGGATTTTGGCTGACTCTGGAAATTGTAAATTTATTGCTGTTCAGCTGGAAATGGAGCAGAAATGTGTAATGTTAAATTTCTTTGTCCGAAACTTTCTTCATTTGTTTCGGGTCACAAGATTAAACGAAATAAATTCTAGTCGAAAAAAATGTGCGAATCAACATCGGGAGAGAGGATATAGTTATCTGCTGCTATTCCTAATATAAGTCAAAAAGAAAAGAACAAATGATCAGCGAAAAACAGGAGGATAATGAAAAGAAAATGTTTTTTTTTTGTTTTGCTACAAAGAAACTTACAATAAATTCCTGCTCGAGGAAATTTCAATGGTTAATTGATTTTATAAGAAGTACGCACACAAATATTGAACTACACGTACAACCTCCGCTTTCTTCCATGGAGCTCAGCTTTTGGGGATCGCTTTTCGAACAGACTTTTAGGGACAGGTTGCAGCTGCTGGATGTATAAATGTGTATTTAGTGTTTCATTGCATTTTAAGAACTCTAAATGAATAACACCCCGACGATCTAATCGCTCGCACAACCTCCCCTTTCTTCCATGGAGCTCAGCTTTTGGGGATCGTCACTTTTCATCCCCTGTCATGATTATATTTAAGGAACAGTTAGTATTAGACATTCGTCATTACATTTGTTTCCGAAAATAGGAAAATACTAGCGACTCATCCTAATAGAATTTTTATTAAAAAAAAAAGTACAATAAATTTAATCACTGGCCACTTACGTAGGAACACATGAACAACTGCACTTTTATGCAAATTTCTAATCAGCCAATGACGTCGCAGAAATTTAAAATGAATTTACATATGGTCATGGCAACCTGTTGAATTTCGTTTTATGAATTAGTATCAGAAAGAAACGGTAATTTATTTGATTTTAAACGTGACAATGTTTATGGTACCAGAGGATTGAGTCTGACTTAGAAAGAATGTCTGGTCTATTAGGGTTTTCATGTAAGAATAATCTTTATAGTTTACGGAGAATGGCCATCAAGAGAAATCCAGTGAACAAAATCCCTTGATGATGAAATATAAGGAACCAAAAATGTCTTTGCCGTATTTTACGTCCGGTTGGAATACGTGATCAATAATACACAAATGAATGCATCACATGCCAGGAAAGAGTTGGTGTGGGGTGGTGTTATTGATCTTGATTAATATAGGTGCGTTGCTCACACACATATCACTCATAGCTCGAGCTGCAGCGAGGAAACATGGGGTGTCGAAGCAGCGCGTTCGGGTTTATCTGCTTTACTGCTGGTGAGTTTTCCCTCAGCCGCATCAAGCACCGGGTATGGTTTCCAGAAGATCTGTCCCTTTGTGATGGACCCCGCAATGACCGGCCACAATACTTGGAAGATGAGGCCCTGAAGGCGTCCATAGAGGAGGACATCAACTAAACCTGTGGTGAGCTTGACGAATGCTTCAAGGTTTCTTAGGAAACAGACTTCATCTGCGCCGCCTAGGGAAGGCTTACAAGTTGAGCAAGGTGGCATCCCGCACAGCCTGTTGGAAGCCAGCAATCAACCACGAGTGATAATCTGTTTCTTGTTTCTTTCTCGATACCACAACGTCCTTATATCTGATCAACTACTCACCGGTGATGAGAAGTCCTGTATCACACTCCTAAGCGTGCTAGACATTGGTTGTCCCCACGGGACCTTTGCCTCACACCACAACATTACCTCTACGAACACGCAAAATCATGCTTTGTGTCTGTTGGACTACTTGATAGTTGTGCACTATGAGCTGCTACCAATGGGTCAAACCATTATTACGGACCTGTATTCGCGGCTGTTGGAACGTGTGTAACAGGCACTGAAGCAGAAGGGGCCAGTATTGGTTAATCGCAAGGGTATACGGTGTAGCCAGGGTTACTATACAGTGATTTGGCTGGGTGACACTGTGCCATTCATCTTACTCCCCTGACCTTACCCAAACAAATTACCCCGCTCTTCAATTCCCTGGTCAACCACCTTCATGGGAAATCCTTCGGAAATGAGGTAGACTTGTGTCAGGCACTCACAGAATTCTTTGTGTCCATGACACCTGATTTTTTACCAACAAGGCACTGCACACCTGGGGGAACGTTGCAAAGGGTTATGTTGATAGAGATTACTTTAATGACGAACGATATGTCAGATTTGCTTTATACATTTTTTTTTTACTAATAATTAAGAAAGGGCAATGAATTATTTTGGTTACCTTGTAGGTTGGAGCAAAAATGACCAGACTAAATGAAGCTGACAGAAAGACAACAGGAACTCAAATAATCTCTCTTTAAAACGGAAGTATACAAGAGCATCTTTAAAAGATCAACACATCGAACCTTGAAGCAGTCAGGCTACAGCAGCAGAAGGACACTCAGGGCTACATTTACTGCAGCGAAGGTTCAGTAAAATTGAACAATAGAAAAAACAAAAAACAAAATGTCGATATACATTGAGATTCTTGACACCAATAAAAGAACACTGAACAGATTTAGATCGATAAGTCCTAATAAAAAAAATCTGTCTCCTGATCGAATCGAACCTGCATCACTTTTCCCACCAGAGAAACTACTCCTATAAGTCGGAATGAGACATTATTACTTTGGCTACGGGAAAGCATCTTGACAAAACGAGGATCAATTTAGCTATTCAAGGAAAGTAAATCTCTCTTTGAGACTTCAACAAATACTGTATAGACTCATTTATAAGTCGACCATGTATAGTGTGATCCTTGAAATTTGGGGCATGAATTTTAACACGTCCAGAAAATTTTTTTTACCATGTATGGTCATAAAAAAAAATGCATGAATTTTTACCCGCTTGAAAAATTTACCTCTGTCTAGTGCGACCCCCCACCTTAATGATAAAAACTCGAACTAAACTCATGCATATACGGTATATATCCCCGAGTTTCATTTTTATACGCGAAACGTAAACAACATGGGAAAAGTCTTACAGGTTCGATTCTTGTCCGGGGTATGTGTTTTTTTTTTGTTTTTTTTTTTTATCGAGGCCGGTTGTTGCTAATTTTACTGTTTAATAAAATAAAAAAAAGGACAGAGATAGCAACTCGAATACGTGTAGCAACTAAAAATAACGTTTAGATTAATAAAGAAATAAGCTATATCTGTACAAGGTGAACTCGTAAAGATATACACAATTAATTAATAGCAGCTTTGTAGAATTAATTAGACACTTTCGTAAAAAGTGATATTATAATAGACATCAGTTTACTTATCTTTTAGAGTCATTTGAGAAACGTCAGAGAAAGAAAAAAAAGAAACAACGCCACAAAAGACGTATAGACATTGTTTATCACATTAGAATATTGTAATGTCTTTTTTGTTTCTGTTTAAATATTTTGAACACTTAAAAATAAAGCATAATTTGAACATTAATATTTAATAGTTTTTAAAAATTTATTACAGAATTTATTCTTTATTATGAAAGGGCTTAATTAACTTTTAGGTAATCACAAGAGTCGCTATTAGAAAATGTGTACACACACACAAACACACACACACACATATATATATATGTATATATATATATATATATATATATATATATATATATATATATATATATATATATATATATATATATATATATATATATAGGTATATATATATATATATATATATAGGTATATATATATATATATATATAGGTATATATATATATATATATATATATATATATATATTTATATATATATATATATATATACATGTGTGTGTGTGTGTGTTTATAGGCAGATATATATGTATATATATATATATATATGTGTGTATATATGTATATATACATATATGTGTGTGTGCGTGTTTACATAGGCATATATATATGTATATATATGTATGTATATATATATATATATATATATATATATATATGTATATATATGTATGCATATATATTTATACATATATATGTGTGTGTGCGTGTTTACATAGGCATATATATATATGTATATATATGTATATATATATAAATGTATATATATGTATATATATATATACATATATATGTGCGTAGGTTTATATATATATATATATATATATATATATATATATATATATATATATATAAATATATGCTTGTGTCTATATATCATTGTTTCTAATGTGTTATTGTCTATGTCGATATTTGCATACGAAGGTGTGTAAATTGTGAGAGATAATATGCGAAGAAAGAGAATGTCAAAGAAAGGCAGCGGGAGGGCGGGAGAGAGAGAGAGAGAGAGAGAGAGAGAAAAGAGAAGAATAAGATAAGGTGAGAGTGTTTACGTTGAGAATTGAAGAAAAAATGAAAAAAAATGAAATATCAATTCGAAATTCAAGAAGGAACATATTCAAAACTGCGAGCTGTTGATTAAAAATATGAATTATTTCGAAATAACACACGAATATTTTCTTAATGAGAGAAAATAGAAAAGAAAGAATTTCTGCATTTCTCAACAATTTCCTTGTTGCTCCCCCATTTCTGCCTAAAGTCTTTTAATCACAAAGCAACACGCAAGACAATAAATTGAAATAAAAACGCGCGCATGAACACACGTCACACGTTCGCACACCGTGTGTAGATCATTGTGTTTCTTTATCGAACACACATTGAGAATACTTAAGGAATATTTGATAGCATCTACATTATTCGATTCATATCTATCTATCTATCTATCTATCTATCTATCTATGTATGTATGTATGTATGTCAGTATATTTAAATCTATCTATCTATCTATCTATGTCAGCATATTTAAATCTATCTATCTATCTATCTATCTATCTATCTATACGTATGTATCTATGTTAGTGTATTCATTCATATCTATCTATCTATCTATCTATCTATCTATCTATCTATGTATGTATGTCAGTATATTTAAATCTATCTATCTATGTCAGCATATTTAAATCTATCTATCTATCTATCTATACGTATGTATCTATGTCAGTGTATTCATTCATATCTATCTATCTATCTATCTATCTATCTATCTATCTATCTATCTATCTCATTCTGTTGGTTATCTATCTATCTATCTATCTATCTATCTATCTATCTATCTACGTATGTATCTATGTCGGTGTATTCTATCTATCTATCTATCTATCTATCTATCTATCTATCTATCTATCTCAGTCGTTTGATATTTGCGCGTCTTTTAGCGATTCCTGGCACTGAAAAAGTATTCTGCATGCCTGTTCTTATTCTATCCAAAGCTGTTTGCATTCCCTTTGCACAGATCTCCTGGGAAAAGCACGAATACACCACTTTAAAATAGCAGGGAGGACTTTACTCTTTTACCTTGGCAGGGTAGCTATTCTGAATTCAAAACCATCCCGAAGTGCAATAGACTTCTTTAGTTTATCTAGACGCACCAGTTGCTGATCTGCTTTATATGTCTTCCCCAACTACCTTAAAACCGAAATATCTATCTATCTATCTTTAGTTTATCTATCTACGCACCAATTGCATGATCTGCTTTTTCATATGTTCTATCAATTTCTTTCATATCTATCAACTATCTATCAGTTTCTTAAAACCGAAATATCTATCTATCTATCTATCTATATATATAGGGGCTATATATCCGTTCATTAAATATTGTTTCCATATCTGTTCTAATTTTCCTGCTATATATATCGAGAGGTTCGACAAAATTCGAAGAAGAGTAATCGATTCTAACCTGGAATCTCGACTTCAATCAATTTCACACCACTCTGGAGTGGCTTCCATTCTGTCTTTTCTAAAAAATATTTTCACGACACTTTTTCTAAGGAACTCGCCTCCTCAGACAAATTGTACGTATGACAGTTAAGATGACATCGAAACTTTGATGCATTATGGTGGGTGTAAGTGACGTTTTGGTTTAACGAATACTGTGGTATATTTGTGTCAGTGTTGTAACCTAGAAAGGGTTATTGAATGAAGAATAACCAAAACGGAGGTTGGAAATGAAAATGGTAATCTTTATAACATCAACAAAATACAATACTCGCCAGCGGCTTGAAGTAGGTAAACCACTGCTAGTAGTTGACTACTTATACAGCATATTAACCCAATAGTGTTCAATGTATACATGATGATTGGGACCATACCCATTAGTGTTCATAGGTACGGTATATAACAGTTAGTAATCGTGTCTAGCTAAGTTTAAGACAGATTGAAAACTAACCTCTCGCCATACCTTCTTTTGGTCTTGTGCTTCATTTTTGTACTATAACAAAATAAATATTAGTCTCCTTCTTCTTACACCAACTATTGTATGCTTGAGTCATTGTTCTAACCTAGAAAGGGTTATTGAATGAGGAATAACCCAAACGGAGGTTGGAAATGTAATGGTAATCTTTATAACATCAATAAATTACAATACTCACAGACTACACGAATCTAAGCAGACTACTAGAATGGCTGGTAGGTCTCATCTGTTCTATTCTAATAATTTCTTTACTCGCACTTCTCAACTGTGGAACTCTATTCCGATTTCTTGCTTCTCTGTCATTTCATCTCCCAGCAAGTCCTTGGCTTTTAGTGTCATCAGCGTTTTACTTGGGGCGAAATGACTATATATATATATATGTGTGTGTGTGTGTGTGTGTGTGTGTGTGTGTAAAAATATATAGAAAATAGGAAAGAAACTCGTTAGGTAAATAATCCAAAGTGCTTTAGTATTTTTGTTATTATTTTTTAAAATAGTCCTCGATACAAAAGTAGAGCATAAATATAATTATTTATTTAAAAAATGCGTTGGAATCATATATTTAAATACGTAATTATATATATATATATATATATATATATATATATATATAATATAAATCACCACAGAGATCCTTCCCTGCCCTCCATTAATGTCTGACACTCAACTACTCGAGAGCACCTCTCTGCGGCTGCTCGGTCTCACGTTGACTGCTGACCTGAGATGGAACAAATACATTGAGTCAATTACTTCGTCCACCCAAGGAAATTTGGCTCTCTGTGCCGCGCCAGGAAATCTTTCTCCCCGGAATCGATCCTCCAGATCTACAAGTCAACAATTCACCCGTGCATGGATTATTGCTGCCATATATGGTCTTGAGCCCCCTCTGTTTGTCTCGGGGTTCTTGATAGGCTCCAGAGGCGGATATGCAAGATAATTGGGCCTGATCTGGCATCTTGTCTACAGTCACTTTCTCACAGACGCACCGTCGCCTCTCTCTGTCTGTTTTACAAATACTTTCATGGTAATTGCTCCGAGGAGCTGCATTCGCTGGTTCCCAGACTTCATGAGTTCAAGCGCCCCCCGAGGCTGGCATCCTGCTCTCACCCTTTCACTGTCGAAACTACTAAATGTAGCCATCTCTTCTACTCCAATAGCTTCATGTGTCGCACATCTCGCCTGTGGAACTCCCTTCCCTATTCCAGTTTCCCTGACAGCTATAATCTCCAACTATTCAAATGTAATGTCAATCGACATCTCCAGTTGCGTTGATCTATCCTTCTCCTCATCTTTTCCTCTATCACTCCTATCTGATCTTGCTCCACATTTTCTGTAACCCCTTGCGTCCTAGTGGTTTCTCGCCTTGCTTGGGGTGAAACGCTTAATATATATATATATATATATATATATATATATATATATATATATATATATATTAAAAATGAATCTTTAATACAAAAGGAACACTCACTTTTCCATCTTAAGGTGTTGGAGTCGCTTTACATCAGGTCCAGGCAGCCTGCTCTTTGCAAACAAAGAGATTGTTTGCTTGGGCTTGCTGTTCTGCGCTTCTAGCAGCTTGGTTGGTATAATTTTATTTTTTTTTTTCCTTCCTTCCCTGTCCATTCATTCATGTCACCCATGACAGACTTTTTTCTTCTCCTCATAATCTAAATTCCCCGTTAACAGTTCTGACGAGAGGGGACGAAACAGGTCGACTGCTGTGTGTTTTATTTTAAACTTATCATGGCCTACAATACAACAATTCTAGTTTTTAATGCCTTAATACGGTTTTGTACCGTTTCAAACCTATTTATATATATATATATATATATATATATATATATGTTATGGGATATAAACGATAATGGACTCTTCCTGACACTATAAATACTGAGCCTCTCAAGAGGTAGAATGAATGGTGTAACCAGCACCGGGAAACCCACGTTAAACTCGGCCTTGTGCCACATGCAACCCTCGTGGGAGGTGGCTAAATATCGGATGAATGGTGTAACGAGTCGAGACAATATTAGTTCACTCTAAACCAGACTGACAGTCATTACTAACACCTTCAACTTCTTGTACTATATTTCTGTTGTAATATATCTTTGTTATTCTACTATTGTGTTCGTGTTGTTCTTCCTTGGTTCTAAACTTTGGACCATAACTGTGGTGCGAGGATACTGGACCATAACAATATATATATATATATATTTATATATATGGTAGACTCTACTCTTTAAAGGTAATAAATCCTTTGGTATATAATCCAAGTGGATCCTAGTAATATAAAGTATTAAAACTGATACACAAAAAGGGCTCAGTGTATTTATCATTACAGAGAGCAAATAATTAATACACAAATCCCAAATTACCTCATATATGAGCTTCTTTCAACCGACGAAAAGTTCGTCAGTCTTAGTCAAGTGAACTGTTACATTGTGGAACAATTTCCTGGCAAGTTGTTTTCAGGCGCACTACAATCTTGACCTTTTCAAGTCTAAAGTTAACTGTTACCTCATAACCTGCACTCTTTGCTTTGTCTTTTGCTGATACTACACCACACATAATCCTCTACCTTGATTGGCTCTTGGGTCTTGTACTTTTTAACATTGGTATAAACAAACTCCAAATGTTATTTTATGGATGACCATGTTTGATTAGACGCCCTGTATCTCAACAGTGAATTACATCTACTGGACTGCGAGCCCGAGAGCTTTAATAATAAAACCCCTGCTCTGTTGTATGGGTCGAACATGAGGTCCTCTAGTTAGGAGTAACGACATTGGTTTAGACCCCGCTCTGCCACAGATAGTGTCGCAGCTCAACGAAATTACTTTGTTTACGTTCCGTAGACGAATATAATTAGCAGATATGGGCTATGGAAAAGATCTGAACTAAACGATGTGCATTCTTCAAAAGGGTAAATGAGTCTTGTTGGACTGTGACGTCGGCTGTGGCCGAGCTGCCTAAAGCAGGCCGGATCAGACGACGGTTTCTCCTATAAAGGGGGACGTAGATTTGAATCTTACCAAGAAAGCGTGTCTTCTTTTGTTTAATCTCTCCAAGGCGCAGACCGGTAGATGCATTGTCCTCTAGTGAGAAAACAGTACGTCTAATCAAACAAGGTTATCCACAAAATAATGTTTAACTGAGTAGAACCCGCCATAAGACTTACACAGTAGCAAACCACACACATTCCCTTCGTATTTCATTGGTGAGGACTAAGTTTTCTTTTACTTCACTATTTTTATAGTAATTATTATAATTTGTGTTTATTATATTTCCTGCTTTGTATCCTGTAGAGCCGGGTCCAAACTATGGTCCTTAGGCCCTTATAGGAGAATTGTCATTTAATTGATAGAACTTTTCTTAGTATATGCGATGTTCTTAAAAGGGCGATCTTCTGGGAAACTTATATGTTGATGTTACCTGGGACATTGTTAGTAAAACTGTCCATTCCTTTTCTCACGAGGCCCAGAGCTCCGATTACTATTGATACAGTTACTATTGATACATTCCCCACTTCTTGTTAATCTCGATCTACAGGTCCTTGTATTTGGACAATTTCTCGATTATTATTATTATTATTATTATTATTATTAACCTTCGTCTCCTGATATTTTGAGACTTATTCGTTGATCTAATCAATAAATGATATTTTGTCTATCTGCATCTATGTTTTTGTCTGTTTGTGACGAACTTTTTTCCGAAATAAAAATAGAATCAATTTTGCAATTAAAGTGCTCAATATTGATGTATAGACCATTATTATTATTATTATTATTATTATTATTATTATTATTATTATTATTTGTGTATGTTATGTTTCCTGCTTTGTATCCTCTAGAGACAGGTTCAAACTATGGTCCTTGGGCTTTTATAGGCGAATTGTCATTTAATTGATAGCACTTTTCTTAGTATATGGGATGTTCCTAGTACGGCTATCTTCTGGGCAATTTGTATGTCAATGTTACCTGGGACACTGTTAGTAAAATTCTCCATTCCTTTTCTCACGAGGCCCAGTGCTCAGATTACTATTGGTACAGTCTCAGACTTCATTCCTCACATCCTGATTATTATTATTATTATTTGTGTTATGTTATGTATCCTGCTTTGTATCCTGTAGAGCCGGGTCCAAACTATGGTCCATAGGCCCTATAGGAGAATTGTCATTTAATTGAAAGCACTTTTCTTAGTATAGAGGATGTTCCTAGTAGGACGATCTTCTGGGCAATTTGTATGTTAAT